CCCCCCCCCCCCCCCCCCCCCTGTATTTTTTTCTGTATTATGATGACACTGTCTAAAATTTCCACCTGTCTATTCTATGAAAACACTTTTATCTTCCACAGTGGGTGATGGTCTTGGACAATGTCATGTGTTTATATAACAATAGGGATACTGACTTGTGTCAATGAAAAATTAATTTCTGTTGCCTTTGCAGAAGATGGAAAACAAGGCTGTCTTATAATGGTTGTCTCATTTGTTGTTTTGCATCTATGGTTGGGTGCAAGACTTCGACAAATGCCAAACTGCAAAAAAATGGCATTTATTTGAGTCTTGTGTCTAGCCATTGGTATGTTTGAGAGACATTAAAAAAATGGAACTGTTCTAGCTGATTTTCTGAGCATACACAATTATTTTTAAAGGTCTGTGCCAATTTTTCGTCATTCATAGTTTAGTTACAAATCCTTTTTTCTCCCCATGTCCTGCTAGGGCCCTGAGCCTTGCATCATGGGCTTGCTGTTCATCTACAAGGTGTATTGCCCTCACCTGGTGACAATGAGATTGGATTACAGCAATAAGGTACCTTTTTTTAAAAACTTATGTTTCCGTCTTTGTCTTAATGTCTTGATTCTCAACTACTGTTGAAGTTCAATTTGTGCTTTGACTTATTGATTTTATTGAATGCTGTCAAATCATTGTATGACTCATAATGTACTGTTCAGATGGGACGCCCTCTATATTTTTTTGCATGTTCCAGGCAATGCGTTTTCGTGATGTCATTGCCCGAATGACAGGTAAAATCTCGATTCTGTGGTTTGACGCTACACCGAGCTGACTTAGATCTAGATAGGTCCAAATCTAGGCCATGAAGCCTTCAGATCGAAATTATTGACGCAATTGCTTTGAAGAACGGCTCAAATGTATGTAATTTAATGTAAGACAATTATTTATAGCAAATATTAAATGAAATTGGGACCAAAAATATCCCTACAGTTCAAAATTATCCGTTTTCTTGGGTGAATCGAGGAGCGGCTGCAGATTCCACACAAGGCAAAAGATCATGTTTGTACGAAAATCGTGTTGCACAATAAGCTTTCCGTGATGCCAGCAAAATATCTAATTTGCATACAATGCTTTGTCTGGAGTCGGAAAAAAATAACAAGTAGGCGCGAGGCCCTATCATTCCATCTGCTCTCTTGATGTCCCCAGGCAGCTTATGGCCACACCTACGGTGTAGAAAACCAATCTTTTGTTACTAATTGAGCATTATTGTGGCCTCCATTGTGCATGGGTTGATATCAGTTCTTTAACCCAGAGCTATGAGATTAGCAATGAAAGCTTGCTTATTTTTGTAATTCAATATATTGTCGGCCAGTTGTTCATGTGTATAATCATAGCTGCTACTTTCCCGCTAAATAGCGGAAACTCCGCTTCATCTAGCTTTTCCCGCTACTTTCCTCCTTCCTCCGCTGGGCCGCTCTCGGTCGCAAATTTCATACTTTTTTTTCCCCGAGGAAAACACCGAACCGGGAGAGAGAGACGAAAACACGGCTTGCGCATGTCTGCCCGTAGCTTTCTACTTCCATTCTTCTAGGCCCAGCGCTAGTTTCACATTGTTTATTGTTGTGGAGCAGCACAGTGTCGATCCGAGTTGGCACGCCGAGTTGTCATTGAAAACGGCGGAAATTTGAGAGAAATTGATGCAGAATGCAAAATTAAAAGGAGCTGGAATGAGAAAGAAGCAGCCGGTGTTCGACTTGAAAAATTCATTAGAAAATTTAACAAGCCGCTTGCTGCACTTTGCATTTGGTGCGAAAGAAATAGCCGCCCGCGGCACTCCTGTACAATTGCGGTCCCGTTTGTTTACATGACGGCTATTGTGGCTGTGGAAATGAATCTAGATCTAGATCTCGATAATCAATCTCTAGATATAATTTAGATCTACCCATATTTAGATATATGTAGATCTAGATTAGATAGCCTAGGCTATAATTTTAATTCAGTTTAGATCTCTAAATAAGAAACACACTACAGGGGCCTGCCTCCTTGATCCGATACTGCTCTACGTCTATGAACAAGTTTGAAGTGAAAGAAATCTTTTTATGAGACACCAGCTGGCAAAAAACACTGGATTTTTAGTCACCAAGTCCAAACTGTGTCAAATTGACTCGAATGCTTGTTAGTCAACTTAGTGCCTTTAAGAGTTTTTTTTTTTTTTTTTTTTTTTTTTC